GGGTACAAAAAAATGTATATGGGCTTGCAGAAGACTATTAGGCAAGTATGTGACTGATGAACTTGTCAGTTTAATTCTGTAATAATAAATTCTATTTAGTATGATACTGCTATGTTATGTCTATTTCCAGAGAGAACATACAACTTGTGTTAAGTGTGCCCTCCTTAAAACATGGGCAAAGAGTTTTCAATATTCATACCATGGACTCTGTAAAGCTACCTATTAGTGTAGTTGATCTGTTCTTTTTAAATCATAATTAGGGCATCGTGGTCTGTGGTAAATGGATTTACAGGAAGTTAGAACTTGTCTAACATTACATGTTTCTGGTCTATGACTAGTTGTTGCCAGCACAGTAGATGGAGAAAATGTTCTGAAGAGGATTTGATCAGCCATCACACTGACTCAAATGCGTGATTTTTAGAAACAATAATTCTGAAGTCTTTTCAGGGTGTCATTGTTTTAAGGATACTATTTTGTAAAGTCTCACTTAGCTAAAAATAGTATAGATGGCTACCAGTATTGTGTGTCGCTTGAATTTTTGTTAGGCATTTAGAATTGGTTTAACTCCACTCTTCCAAATCCTCTGAATGGAAGAAGTTGTAATAGAAACTTCTGCTCATTCGTTTAGCATATTTTTGATGAGTGTTTGGGTATTAATTTCAGCATGCTAGGTGTTTAGTAAATATGCTTGTATGGATTCTCATCTCTGGCAATGAAGTTTTCAAAGTACTTTCTTGACAAGTTTTCTTCTTTAAATGTGCGGGTTTTTTATGTTTTCAGTTTACATATGTAAGTGAGCAAACATTTAGGTTTAGGAATAATTTGTATGTTAAGATCATAGAGTGGCTGAATTTTTTCCCCCTTATCTCTTAGAACCTGTACATTATAGACCCCAACTTGAAATCAAGTATTGTAACTGGGTTTGGTTTCTTTCTTTTTCTACTCACAGGCATTTCTGTTGCCGATATGTGAAGCAGCTGCCATGAGGAAAGTAGTGAAGGTGTATCAGGAATGGATTCAGCAAGAAGATAAACCTTTATTTATGAAAGAACCTGAGGAAATAATGCAGTGCACAACTGTAGATTGTGATGAAAACGTTGACCATAATTCATCAGAGAAAGGAAAAGAAAGAGAAGAGGTAAAATATTGTTGGTTAATATTTGGGCATCTTTTTAATATGCTAATACAGAGCAGTGGCATCCTTGACAGTTTATATGTGGTTTACTTTGGTGTCAGAGCATGTATTGAGGAAAATAAGTGGTAAAACAGTGCATGAATGAGCTACCAATTTTATCCATTATCTGTAGATTTTTAATGTGGTCAGTTCAACTTAAAATTTCATGTCATTTTATGAACTGTTCTCAAGGTATGGATTATGCAGTGTGCCAACATTCAGCTGTGTCAAAATTATATACAAGTAAAAAGGTGAGGAAAATAGTAGTTGTTTCATTCAGATAGTTTAAAATAATTGCTACAAGCTTCATGACATACTGTTGTGTCTCTAAGGTGCATTTGTCTGCCATTGTTTATTATTTAATATCTATTATATCCTTTTTCCTTTAATATAAAGGCAAAATACCTGTCTATAAATCCATAGCATTCTAAGAAAAATATTTTTCAGGAAAAAGGTATGAACTCCAGTCATATTAGAAATTCAAACTGGACAAGAAATGGCTGTTATGAAGACACTTTGCATAAAGCGTCTGAAATTGATACTGAAGAGCAAAATGTACGAGCTGGGGTGCAGTCAGTATTGCAGGTATGAACTGGATTTGCTATCTCATTTTATCTAAATTATCTGTCTAAAATTATCTAAAGCTCTTCTTATCAGCACATGAAGAGGGGAATGCAATGCAATACTTCTGCCAGGGAATCCCATGCATCTCTAAATCATCTCTGAATTTTTAGAATTATTTTATGCATAACAAATATGATCATCAAATGTTAGAATAATGTTAGTGGTTCACTATATGCTTATTGACCTTAAGTAGGACAACATTTAGACCAGTGTTGGGTAACACAGTAAAAATAAATCTTTTAATTTTGGCTCACAACATGCATTCTGCTCTGCATTTTATCACAGAAAAAATAATCCTCATTTTAGTGCAACATCTTCAAATGTTTGTAATTGTTTTGTGAGATTCTTTAGTGGCTTTTTTCTTATACACTATTAGTTGCCACAAAACATCCAATCCTGTGTTTTTATAATCTGGATAATAAGACATATAGGTATATTTTCTCATATTTTTATGAATTACAGCATAAGTGTTTGAAAAATTTGATCAGACATCACGACTCTGCAGTGATATCCTTAAGGAATGGGAGGAGTTGCAGAAGTTGCCTAACAAAATTTTTTAACTGCTTCTAGGAAATTTGGCAGGGTAGAAATTGTGTTAATTTCCAATGTTCAGCAAAAAAGCTTCACTGAAATTGAGGCTATAGAAAATCAAGAGTGTATAATTTGAGGGTCTTTGAAACGCTCTTAATGTCATATATAGTGTGTGCATTTTATGTATAATATGTGTCTATATAGGTGGGGATAATACTCTTTTATCCAGCAGAAAATGGATTCTGGACTGAATAAAATGGATATGTGCATTTGCCATTTTACTGTCTGCTCTTTTACTGTGGGTGACTATGCTGATTAAAACTCATTGTTTTTACCACAGCTTGAATGATTTTCTGAGTAGGGTTTTCTTTTGTGCTGTACACTGTATATAACACAGATAAGCGTTGTGACTGAAATAACTTTTAAATTCATATGTTACAATAATTTAAGCTTCATGATCTTAGTTTACAATGACTCTTTAGAATATGAAGTGTTTCTGAGAAAAGAAATAGTGAATTATCTGTATCTGTTTCCAATAGATTACTAAGGTTTCCACATCTGAGAATGTCTCAAAGATTCTTCATGTTGAAGTTTTTTAGACAAAGGTTCATTTGACCACCTAATATCTTTCTTTTTGCCTGAAACAGTCAGGGCATCATTCTAACCTAGTACCATATCTCAGTTTGAGAGATTTCCTGCCTGGGAACCACATTTGAGTTTCTCTTTGAAGCAATAATCCAAGACTCCTGTCTTGACTTTTCTTCCCATTTAATGCTTGCATAGACTTATTTCAAGGCACTTAGAGTAGGTTAGGTTCATTAGTTGAGGCTGCATACTAATAGTTTTAATTATTAAAAATCCAAAGTTCTCAGTAGAAGGAAGTTATGACTGTAGGACCAATGATTTCCTGTACATGTACGTAAAAAACAATTTAAAATCTAGGCCTGTGATTCAAGTGCTTCCTAAACTTGCATAAAAATATAATAACACTTCAGTAGTAGCTCCTGTAACTTCTGCAGTGTCCTTGCCTATGGGTTTTTTTGCAATTTTTGGTCTGAAAGCCCTAATTCACTGGCCACTGAAGTCAGCCACTTTGGAGAAAGTATCCCTTTTCCTACTTTTGGTAAGCCTTACTGATCCCAGTGTAATGAATGCTTTAGTTTCCCAGAACATAATACAGGCAGTGTCATAGTGAAGCACACACCGCATGCCAGGACTATTTCAAGTCGTTCAGCGTATATTGTACTAGTCAGTTGCTGACTCACAGGTGGGACTTCTGTGCAGTTGACTTCTTTACTGGGACATTTTTGTCCATCGTACTAAAATAATCCTATTGAGTATCTTGTTGTACCATCTGTCTGTGAGAGCAAAAATAGACAAATATGGTTTTTGGAAAAAATGGGGAAAAGATCAGTCTATTGTTACTTAATCATTATTTTAGACTAGCATATTTGAACATATACTCCTGTGTGCATATGCAGTCTTTTCTGATAGCTATTTTCTGTTATAGATATTTTTCCTGGTTCTGTCAGCTGAATTGCTGAAGACATGAAAGTGCTTCAGGCTCATAACACTGGCTCTTTTCTACTTACAGGTTTTTATAATCAATTCTTCAAATATATTCTTTCTTGAACCTGCAAATGAAATTAAAGCTCTGCTGGACGAACATACTGATATGTGCAAACGCATTCTTAATATCTACCGCCACATGGTAGTCCAAGTGACCATGGACAAGAAGACATGGTAAAATGCTAATGCTCTTATCTCAGATTATTAGTTCACAAGATAAATGTGAAAATTTACTTGGTAGTAAGCGCAGAAGAATACTGTATGAACCAGTTTCTCTAAAACAGTAAATACATGAACTTGAACATCACAGGAAAGTTAATCTCCATCTCCTCTGTGCTATCTGTTCTGTTAAAGCCTGCAGTAAGCTCCTAGTTAATTTGGGGCAATTCAGGCCTCAGTGAAAAAAGAAGTAAGCTGGGATATACAGACTACTATTAAGGAGCTACGTATGATTGTTTCCAGGGCATTTTGGTCATGTATCGAAGTGTTAAAATATGAAAACATATATGAAGCTTCACAGCCTTATTTAAAAATAAACGAAAAATCCTTAGATAAGCATGAGTACCTATTATAATCATGTGTTGCTCTTGACCTGTAATTGTGGACAGGAATCTGTGTACTGTGTAACTGTATTGTTCCTTTTCAGTGCTTAAGGTGCCTAGCAGGTACAAAGGGCCTCACTCTCAAACGAATTTCTGTTATTTCCCACTCCTTTGAATAGCTGTCCATGCTGAGGTAGTGTATTGCCACCATTCTCCATTGCGAGGAAGCAGTAGCAAGGGGATTTCAAATGTGTGATTTGCTCCATTTTAACTTAACTTGCACACAGTCTGTCACTAGTGTTTCCTGTCATGTGAAGCTTGTCTCTTCTTCTGAGGAAATAAGGACTCAGTTCAGGGCTAGCCACTGGGAAATTTGGGATTGATAGCAGAAAACAGATTCTACTAGATCGGTATTTTCTTTCCCAGTTTCACATCAATGTAAAGAGGTGACTCTAGACTGTGACGGCAAAGATTGTACCACACAAAATAATTAATCAAGTATGTTAATGATAATGTAACATTGCCAAAACCTGTAATTCATAGGGAAAAAAAAAAAAGAAAGAAAAAGAAAAGCTCAGATTAAAACTTCACCTGTAATTTCAAGCCATTGAAGGAGATAGCAATTGAATGACTTGGCAGATGTTAGAGGGCAACAGGGACTTGTCACTCTCAAGTGTGAAGAGTAATTTCTTTTGCAAGAACCTAGTTAGGCTGTTTGTAATCATTATGTCCTGTTTGGAATGTGTTTGAGCAAATCAAGCTCAAGGTTATTATCTTAAAAAATGTCCTGGTGTATACAGAATTATAACAAAATGGTAACTCTAAGTTTAATACTGTTTTGCAGGGAACAGATGCTACTTGTGCTGCTCAGGGTTACTGAATCTGTGCTGAAAATACCACCCCAAACTTTCTTGCAGTATCAAGGAAGAAAAAACTCCACTTTAGCTGGAAGACTTGCAGGACCTCTTTTCCAGGCAATTACACATAAATTCACTTGAATTCAGCTTGATTTTGACAAAGAGATTAGATACAATAACCACTGTTTGCTAGTTTATCATCTTAAAGCATTGATACGTTACCCAGATAATGTGAATGGTGTGGATAAAAGAGCTGCCTATGTTTATTACTTTCTGCCCTTTACTTAATGACACTGTGACAAAACATTTTTAAGGTACTGTGAAATTAAAAAATTGCTGTCGTTTAGTTGAGTTGGAATAATTGGCAAAGATAACTGACAATGTGTGCAGTTTTAGTCTTCTTTCATTGCAAAATTAGCCAAAGTCAGCATGAAATCTTCTCTACTATCCATGCCTAACCAATTTTTTTATTCCTTACAGAAAGCTGTAGCAGATCCTTTCAAAGTTTAGAGCTGCAGAGTGCTGTTGTGGTGGGTTCTCTGTAAACAGGATCTGTAGACACTCGGATTCTTTAGTAGGAAAAAAAGAACACACAAGATAAGAATGCGCTGAGAACTAATTGAGAGCAGTATCACAAAACTCTTTGGCAAAACTTGTAAGATACTGAGAGATCTTTCATTAGTCGAACCAGTTGTTCCTGTATCTAAGCCAGAAACCTGTGTTAACATAACACTTCATGATTCACTGAAAGTGTGTGTACTGGTGAGGAAAAGAATCTCAGGACTGCACAGAAATTTGAGTGGTAGTTAGAAGTTTCCTTTTAAGTAGTAACATTTGAATGTTGTCAACTTAATGTTCACAACCCAACTTTTCTCTGTTCTTTTAGACTCTTATAGTAGCTTGGATCAAAGCAAACCTAAATGTGTACATTTCTCGAGAACTTTGGGATGACTTGCTGTCTGTAATGTCGTCACTGACGTACTGGGAAGAGCTGGCCACCGAGTGGTCACTGACGATGGAGACTCTAACTAAAGTATTAGCTAGAAACTTATATAGCCTGGACCTCAGTGACCTGCCGTTGGATAAATTAAGTGAGCAGAAGCAGAAAAAGCACAAAGGCAAAGGTAAGACAATACTGTATAGACATCATTGAATTTGAGCTGGGGTGATGAGATGTTGGACACAGGATAGTTTTGGTCTTGCCTTTTTTTGTATACCTAATTAGGCATCTTCATCACCTGAAATAACCCTGTTTGTTTAAGGTAAAGCTGCTTTTTAGAACTGCCATAAAACCCTTTTGTTAAGGTTCATTTCTGCAAATAGGCACATATGGAATGTAGTCCTTAAAGGTGTATTGAATTTAACATAAAATGTTACATTTTAGTGGATTATGCCTTGCTCCTTTTATCAAATCAGTTAGATAGTTGAGTAATAAAGATGGAAAAATGTGTAATTTTTAGTCTATTTTTTTTTCTCTCTCTATTGTAATTGATGTGGCTCTCCAGTCAAACCTGAGGGAAGGTACTTCCTAGTAATATCTTAGGGTTTGTTAGTGAGAAGTTATCTATGTGGATTCTCCCTCTTAAAGAGGATGTTCCTGTTGTAGGCCATTTTTGCTGAAGGCATACCACAAGCCTCTGTGCTTCTTATCTTGGGCAAAGGCATTATACACAGTATTGTTTTGTTCTTCTGGTGTGTGACAGTTGGACAAAAATACATTTCTCTGTAGTTGACCTTCAAAGGTTGTTCCAGACCATGCATTTTTGTTGTCCTGTACTGTACAGCTTTCTTCTTTTTCTCCCTAAAGACACAGTTAAAAAAAAAAAGAAGTCTGGTGTGGCATAAGAATGTGTAGAGTTATTTGAATATATGCTTAAAAAAATTTTACATTATCTGTATCACCCATACAGAGCCACATGAGAAAAGCTTATGTTAGTTTTTGGTAACAGAGTTCTAGAGAAAGCATCCATTGTTAAATGTGAGTTGCAGAGCTAAGTGCAGCTTTGGGATTATTAGATATCACACCATGCCAAGTTTCTTTGGCCCTGTTTGTTCACTAATAATAATGAACACGTTGGACTAGGTTTCACTTTCCAAGATGCCCTTTTAATGATTGTAATACAAGTTCAGTGTGGATGAGGAAATACATTGCAAATAGTCTTTACAACACTTTTTTTTTTACACATGTAATTTTTTGATAGATCCTCATACGAACTTTTATTTGCTTCAATATAAATGTCAAATCTGAATTTATTCCATCTTAACCTTACTATAGTATTTTTTATCAATTTCCAAAGGACCTTGTTCTCTGAGCCCATCATCATCCCACCTTTGTGCTTTTACATTTTGTGTAAAAATATTTTATTATCTTTATTTTATGTTCCTCAATGTCACAAAATTATTTGGAAAAAGCCGCACTATATTAATGTTACATAATGTATGATTTTGTGTGTCTTGTCTAGTAGGAACAGCAAAGGAAAAGGTAGATATTTTATCAGACTACAATCTTCAGAAACCCATTGTTTTCAGAAAAGAAAATTATGGTAGTTTAGTAGCTGCACCAACACTTCCGAAAAAGCATGAATATCTCCTAGTGTTAAGGCTGGCCAGGCTTTTGAAATCATTCTTGCATTGGTAACTTAATTTATACCATCCAGCTTTAAAACTCTTTGAAAGAACACAGCTGCAATTATCTGGTGATATCCGAATAGAAGTGAAAAGATTTGCAATTCTATTTTTGCAGGAGTTGGGCATGAATTCCCAAAGTCTTCAGTTGATAAGTCCTTTTCTAGAGGCTGGAGCCGTGATCAGCCTGGACAAGCACCAATGAGACAACGCAGTGCTACAACCACTGGCTCTCCAGGGACAGAAAAGGCAAGAAGCATAGTACGGCAGAAAACAGTTGGTAAGTAGCTGTAAAAGCTGATAGAAGTGACCTTTGAGAAAGCGTAAGGAATTAGTAACTGAGTTCTGTAGCAACACAGATAACTTTTTTCCACAGAAGTACACTCTCTATAATAATTTGCACATTAGTTCAGTGTGTAAGTTGTGCAGCCTTACGTGCATGGAGGGTAGCTGAATAGCTTGTGGTTACTGGAATTACAGTTACTGCAAATGAAAGTAATGCAGGTGATGTATTAATTCTTAATGAGGTTGATCACGTGTTTAAGCTGGATTGGAAAATAATACTGTTGTGTGTATATGAAGGAGCAAAAAGCTGGAATGGTTTGAGCAATGGTGCAGATAGGTGGGTAACAGAAGGTTTCTTAAATGTGTATTTTCATAAACTGCGGAAGACAGGTTGAGTGGTTTCTAGTTGTGCAAAGGGAAGTGTGAAAAGTAAGTGAACGGCTGCACAGTTTACAAAATGTGCTGTCTTTTGCTATACCCTGCATATTGCAGTAATGAAAGATTGACACAGATGTGTACACTTCTCCATTCCTGAAGTCATCTACTCAATTCTATTACTTGCAGATACTCTTTAGTGTGTTAGAAATGAGTGATGCTGAGCAGTGCCTTAGGTGAACTCCTCAAAAGAAGACTCATTTACATTCACATGATTTGCTTAGACTATGTTCACATGAACTAGGCTACAAATTTCTTTGTTGTCTCAGCTTGATGATCTCAGTGCTTTTCCTTATGTGAAGGAAAATTAAGCTGATTTTAATATTTTGTTTAAAAGAAGAACCTTTTAAGGAATTTCTCTTTTTCGCTATCTCTGTAGTAGTAGTAGCTTCAGTCATTGTGTGTTGTTGCTTCACTGATAGTTCCTGGAAGTAGGTACATTCTGACAGTTTTATAAATTGGGGACGCATATTGGCAGTTGAATATATAATTGTGCTAGCTCTGCAGAAATGAACATTTTCTTTCTTTTTCAAAAAATATTGGCAATGAACTTTTCAAGTCACAGAGATTATTTAGAGGAAGTTTTTATTTGAATATTTTTCAATATTCTCCAATTAAAAAATTTGTTCTCTCCTAAGGGTCTTGTATGGTAGAATTAATTGTCCTGTAAGCTGTACAGAAATGTGAGAAAATGAAGTCACTACACCAAAGTTTTCTCTGTTTTTTGCATATTTGAATGCTACACAGCTTTTCCTGTATCTCATGCTGACAGCATCTAGTTTTCATCATGGATCACAGATATTTTAAATGTAATTTCCGCTTGTCTGTAGGTAGTCTGTGATTAGTGCTTGAGGTGGATTTAAATCTTAATTGTCTTAACAAGGTAAAGCTCATATTAAAATTTCTCCTTCCCAAATTGTTAATATTTCAGATATTCCGTCAGAAGGTTATGTTGTTAGGTAGATTTATTAACGATTTTGCTTTGCTGCTATTTGAAAGATGGCTGTTTCTACGATATTAGCCTTAAAATGACTGGAATTTATCCTAATCAAGCTATATTTTGACCTGGTTAGCAGCAAACTAATCTGATTTTTGTTTCACTGTACTTCAGCTTCCATTGTTTTGTTCCTTTCCTCCAATTATCTTACATATTTGATATTAATAAGCCAAGTTTGTATTGTATTGTAACCAGTTAAATTTTCAGCTCTATTAATGCTGTAGGACAGCATCTATGGACAAGCATCCCAGCTAGGAGGATAGTAAGCAATGAAAAGCCCAAAAAGAGTTGCCAGCACCAAAATCCCAAACTATTCAGTTTTTTAAATGTTAATGAGGCAAACCTTACAAACCCTTACGTATGTCTTAACTGCCTGCAAACAGTTGCTTGTTATTGTCTCGCAGGTCTGCAAAGAGAGGTCTTCAGATGCTTCTTAATCTGTGCCAGTTAACACAGGGTCACATAACAAAAAATAGTCACAATAAGTAAAATCTTCTGTAGAACATTTTGCTGGTCAGATCTCCTTCAGTTTAACATTAGCTCCACAAGCTAAGTCTGGAATTGAGTCAGACCTTAAATATGTTGCATGATATCTGATATGTATTACATTCCCTTTGATCGTGAGTAATATATACTCTTTATATCTGAGTAGGGTGGGATGTGCATGTTGAATATTTTATGGTAAGAAAAAGCTGGGGTTTCTTTTTCATCTGTTTTATGTTGTACACAGTTTTGTGTACATCTGTGCACCTCTATTTTTTGAGCCATTGTCATGCCAGCACACATTTATTGCTGCACCTATGTGTGTGTGTGCGTGTTACTCAGATAAAAATCACAGCTTTTCTGATACGCAGTGTGTACATTTTAGCCTGAACTTATGTAAAGTAATTTTTGGAAAAGGGCCTTTAAACGTAGTATGCATATGGGTTGAAAAATCTTCTGTAAGGCTAGATACAGGCAGCAGGCTCTAGCAGTATAAAAATATTGTGTCAGAAAGAATGTATTAACCTTTTGTTCTGCTTTTGTGTATAGACAACAGTGGAAGGTTATAAACTGTCAAATACCTAGATCACATTCTGATGTTAAGTCTGCCTCTACTTAACTACTAAATGGAATGTAATATGGTGGAAAAGATCCAGTCAAATTCAGAGGAACTCTATATGTTCAAATTCGTAATCAACACAGTATCCAATCCCAAAAGCTTGATTTATTTAGAATCATTTAGGCTGGAAAAGACCCCTAAGATTTACTATGTAGCTTGTTATTTTTATTCTTGCCTACATTCATTTCAGATTCACAGTGATGAATGAAATGCATCTATCACTGTGTCCTGGATTTTATTATTGTATCTCTTAAACAAAGAGATACTAACGCCTTGCACGTAATTGCTTTTCTTTAAAAAAAAGTGGTTTCTGTCTTACAAACTAAATTTAATAGAGTATGGCTTCAGTCTTAAAAGGTCTATCTTTCTGAATTGTTTTTTTAAACTGATATTAAGACTCCACTTAAGTTGTGCTGCATTTGTCAAATATATTTTCTGCTCTTTGTGACCTACCCAGGTTATCTGCATGTTGCTCTGAGCGACAATTCTTTATCCTGGCTTAGAAGTATGATGTGCTCAACTTTCACTGCACTCCATTTATATACTGATTCCCATACAGGTCAGGAGCACTAAGATTCGAGGTCTATATTCCATGTTATTTTGAAAATACGTATATTTAGAAAAGTTCAAAAGCTGATTAAATATTGCAAAGATAACATTTATGTAAGACACACTGAAGTTCCCTCGAAGAAGTTTACTAGCAACAATTTTAAAACCAGTTAGCAAACTTGCAACACTTTGCAAAGGAAGCTGCTTGAAACAGCTTCCAGTGTACTTTGAGGTGGGATGCAGTATCAGTTCTTGCTGTGTCTCACTCTGACAAAAGAAAACAAACACCATGAAGATTCATTTTAAATGTATTGGAAAAGCTGCAGGTAGAACCTTGATTGTGATACCACAGTTCTGATGTAAGGGTTCCATTCTGTAGGACTGTTGGTAGGATGTGAGATGTGGAAAGGTGAATTAATATCAGGTTAGCAAGATTTATCCTGTATCAATTGAAATCCAGACCCTCTAGATAAGGAACAATTGAATGCTTTTTGTTGTCGAACCATTTCACTTCAGTTATTTTATTTCTAATGTGGAACTATAACAAGTTTTATTGCAAATTTCTCCACACAGAACTGATCATTTTATCCTTATGCTTTTGAATCTCTTTTGGAGAACATGAATTCAAGAGTATGGGTGTGTGTAAAATACAGAGATGCATTTTCAGGAGAAAATCAAAGGAAACTAGAAAAATGCAAATGTAGTGTAAGTTGCTTTTTCTGTTAAAAAAAATTTCAAGTTTCAGGGCTTGAGGAGCAACTTTAACTTTGATTTTTCAACCCCTGATGCAGTGGGAAAAAGTGTTAATTAGTTTCTTGATTTCAAATGCAAAATCTTTGTAATTGTCATAATAAAGGCATTGTTGCTGCTTTACATAAAAGTTGAAAACTCAGAATGTCCTATGTGTCCACTGATTTTTTTCTTTCTTACAGCTCTGCCAATATCTGCCGTGCTGAAATGTTTTAATTTTTGAATTTTCTTCCTTTTTATCTTTGTTTTCTCTGTTGCTGCTTTTTCTGTGACACAAGCCTTTCATTATAGTCACTCTTCTTTTTTCCTTCCCCACTTCTTTCTTTTCCTTTTTAAAGCCATGAGAAGCCGATCCATTGGTGAATGTGCTCTGCCATCGGCCTATATACGCAGTGCTAAAAGTGCTCCTGTTCTGATCCATACTTCCAAACCCTTCTTGCCTGATATTGTTCTCACTCCCCTTTCTGATGAGCTTTCAGGTAGTGCCACCTCTGCTAATTTCTGCACCCCCTTTATCACTTTTTAAACCTTCTGCTTTCAAATTCTGCTAAATCATTAAATTTTTCAAAGTAAAAATACTTTGGGGATGGTGGGAGAGGGGAAGAGATTAAGAATGAATATTTTGAGTTGTGTAAGATACCATGCTATTTTACAATTCATTCTGGAACTGTTAGAAGTTAGTGCTGTGCCAATGTTTGCTATTATGAAAGTGAAATTGAGAGAAATCTCTTCACTTTTCCAATTTATTGGTAAGGAGTAATAGAGCATCTGTCTACTAGAGGGTACAACTACTATAATTTTTTTTATTTCTGATGAGTGAGGGAGGGAAAGGAAGAGCTTAATTTTACTTTGTTTTCCCATTGCATCTTTCTATGTAAATTTTTGAATTCAGTGTCATAGATGTTGTGTGAACAACCATGATGATACACTTCAGATCCCATGAAAAAAGAATGAAGTATATGGTAGCATATAATACACTTCAGAATATGCCTGGTTTTCATTAATATATAAAAGCATTTTAAAAGTCTGTAGTTTGGAATTCACAAGTGCTGTGTTTTGGTTTTATTTTCAAAATGATCCATTTTTTAAGAATTGTGGTTTTCCTCAACATTCTGTTTGGTCCAGCAGGGTGGTTGGCTACAAGTTTGACAGTAGCTTACTTTAGATAATTTTCTCTGAACAAATAGGTTCAACAATTAGAATTATCACAGATTTGAAAAATGCATGTTTACAAATTATGTTATTTTTCCTGCTATTACATAGGTATAGATTAGTGTTGTGTTCAGGCTGACAATCATGCTATGCCCCTGTCTCAATGAGTGAAAAAAACCCAAAAGCACAGTGGGAGGACTATATATATTTATAGTCAAACTGTGTACAAATTTATGGAGTTAATGACAGTAATGTTTTTATGCAAGACATTTTTTTTCTTTTCTGTCTCTCCTGTCTGCCTTTGTTACCAAGAAGTACCAAGAACTGTATCTTCATAACTGTATTTTGTCATGTGTCACATGTCACAAAATTCTTGTTGTGGAACAGAAACTTGGTGACATAGTATTCAGTCTAAGAACATAAATGAAGAATCAAGGAAGTTCAAGGTACCCATTCCAGAGAGTCCAGACTTTAACAACGAACAATTATAAAGTATTTGAATGCAATTCTTGACACCGCAAACAAAGTTTGATAAAATACAAATTTTTCTATGTAATAAATTATAAACGTATGAGTGCAAAGGGTTATGTCTTCCGAGATATAAATTATTACAACTTAGAAGATAGGGATTTTTATAGGCATGATACCTGAACAGCCTATTAGGAGATAGATCTTACCTGGCCATAGCATTGTTGGAATTGGTCAATTCTTAATGAAGATCTTAAGAGCACCTGCAGCAGGGAAGGAGCTTTCACAATGAACTCTTCTTTTGTCCCATAATCACTGTTAGATAACTATCCTGTCTTAAAGAGGGCAAAAGTGCTTTTGTAGTAGTTTTATCATCCATGTTTCTGAAAAGTTCTGGCTTGCTTCTAATGCATGCCAAACTTGATGTCTCCCTTGCTATTATCCTTTTTGTTAATACTTGTCCAATACAAAAACCGCATGACCAATGTAGTCCTTAAAAATAAAGTAATGTTACAGACCTTCTAACATAGAAAAAGTCCTAGGCCCTTCCTGGTTTTGGTGTCTTCACAAACAGATGGGTGCTGCAGCTGCTTCATGATGTGCCCAAGAATCTTGACCATTGCCAGAAAATTGAAAAAGTCTAGTGAAGGAAAGCAAACCATTGGAGTGTTGATGGGGAAGTAGCAGAGTAAGGGAAACACTGTCCACTGGATCAGAGTGCATTTTGCTCTTTTAATTTTCTGCCTTTTAATTGCGCTCTTTCCTTTTTTTTAAAAACATGAAGCTTTATCATTTCCTTGCCTTTTCTTCTTACAGTAAATATATTCTTTTCTGAAACCTTCTGTTTCCAGATGTGCAGCATGTAATTTGGGAAGTAATCAAATTGTTTCAATCTAAAGTGTATTCTAAGTAATTAATGACGTTTAGCTAGCTGTGACAGCCCTTCTTCTTACTTCATGGTTATATGGATATCCCTGTTAACCAAAATGACTTTATGAGCCAACACAACTCGAAGGAGGGGACATTTCAAATGATTCCAAAATAATAGGATGCCTAATACTAAGTTTTCATAAGTAGTGTGCAGGTCTTTTAGTGTGAAACTCCTCGTTGAAAGATGGACTCACTGCACACTGGTGAATCTTGACAGGGAGTCCAACAGAAAATATTTGTGCCCAAACCTTTACCTTATGTACAGTATATTCATTTTCAAGAGTTAGGCAGAACATCTGTCTGTAATTTGTTATTTATTGAGATACAATGTTTCTGCCTGAAGGTCAGTCAGTAAGTTAACAAAATATTTTGCAAAAACTCAGTGTCATCTAGCATCATAGAGTATGCTTTTCCTAAGATTGTAATTCCTTCATGTGTTTCTAAGTTATAATATATATTCATGTCCATAATATTTGCAACTTTCAAGTAGAACCCAAAAAGGGGAAGTGGAGATTTATGCTTCGAGGTGTTTAGTTAGTAAAGTGATTTGGTATGGTATATGTGTTGCAAATCTGCAATATTTCTAAAGAACTTGTTCTTTAGCCTGTTTGATTCATAGAAAATTCAGTGTGACATGTTTAATCCCAGAAACTCACAGAATGTGTTCTTATGACAAAAAAAAAAAGAAAGCTGAAAAGCAAAACATGTTTTTTCTCCATTTCCTGAACTAACTTTCCATGATGAACTACAAACCTGCCCCAATGTTATATGGGGATTTTCTATTAGCAGTCATGCTGTCTTGTCAGAATGTGTCTATCCATGAGTTTGCATTTTAGCATATCTGTCTGCCACTTGATGCTGAAAAGCTACCTTCTCTTTCTGCCTTCTAGCAGAAAAAGGAGGGGTAAGGTTGATTTAAGTTGTGATTGGCTAGATCTACCAATTTCTGTCTCTTAGTCACTGTAACATATAAGGAACCAGGGCAGCATTTCTCCTAAGTAAATGCACTGTGTCAGGTACACAGTCTTCTTGGTGCACAGTTGCAATGTGCAAACTGCTTGGGAGTTGATGGGGTCCCAGTTTGGCTGTGTGCAAGGGTGAGCCCTGGTTGTGAAGGAGCTGTTCATTTGGGGTTTTGGATATTGTCTGTGTTTTCAGTGTCAATATTGCAATAACAGCACATTTTTCATTTCCTCTGTTTCTTCCTCTGTTCTACAAAAAAGAAATCTCTATTGGCATAAGCACATGTTTGAAAATGTTTGTGTACTTGTATGTGCTAGCCATGCATATGTGAGCACCTAAACTGAATACTGGATCAACACTGAAATAAATCTAGCTGAATTTATTTCAATGTGTGGAGCTACTTGGTGTGCATCAGGAGTTCTCTATCCAGTTATTTCTGACATCCTAGAAAGTCATGATCACTGCATGCATGCACAGCATGCAACTCCTAGGCTGCTGCTTTAGATCAGGTTGAGTTTAGAATAGGTATGAAAGATGCATACTGAGGGCACAAGATGAAATCGATATATCGTAGTTGCATACATTAATCTTATAGATAACATTATACGTATTTTTGACTGAATCCTGTGGTCCTTTCTTTGCAGCTGTAAGAAATAGCCTGAGACAATGTAAGCAAAACCTGTGTTGATTTCTGCCTAAGTCAGGAGAGAGTTTGAAATATCAGTTCCAACAAGAGAGGGACACCATTCACTTCAGAGCGTGTTAATTCATGTAGTTCGTAGTAAGTTGAACGGTGAGAAATTAGTTGCTTATCAAAGCTAAAGAGAAAAGGGATAATAGATGATTTTTCAGTTCATGTTTATTTTCTGAGATAGATCGGATGCCTATTCCCTTTTTCCAATACAGATCTCTCAATTCCCTGCCATAATCATAGAATCATAGAATTTAAGGGTTGGAATAGACCTTACAGATCATCTAGTCCCAACCCCCCCTGCCATGGGCAGGGACACGATCAGGTTGCTCAAGGCCTCATCCAACCTGGTCTTGAGCACTGCCAGGGTCGGGGCAGCCACCACATCCCTGAGCAACCTGTGCCAATGTCTCACCACCCTTGTAGTAAAACACTTTTTTCTAATATCTAACCTAAACTTCCCCTCCTTCAGTTTGAAACCATTACTCCTTGTCCTGTCATTGCAGTTCCTAACAAATAGTCCCTCTACAGTTCTATAGTAGCCTACAGTTCAGTAAACTTTGTATGAGTCAAACTTTAATTTTCAAGTTTTAACTTGAGCATGGAACTACCACTTTTCATCTTCTTGGAACACATATGTTTCATTAAATGCAGCCGTACCTCATTCCTCTGGTTGTTATGCTTTGTTCAGAAGGAGAATATGCAAAAATTCAGCTCCAGCTCTAACATTCTTTAAGAAGTGTGAGCACCTCAAGACAGGCTTTTAAAGGGGGACTTCAGATTATCAGTATTCAGTCATCCACAAAGTAGTAAATTGAAATATACCTAATATTTAGTAATAATGTAAATATTTAAAAATATAATCATAAGCATAGTTGCATTTTTTTGCCTGTAATACATCAAAGTTAGGAGAGGGAAAGGGGCTTAAATTTTGTTCTGATTTTAAGTAAATTCACTGTTGCAGTCCTGAAGTTAAATCTCTAGGCAGAACAATGAGGTAAGTGTTTATTGCAGCAAATAACTGTTGTTGGTGTTCACTTAAGCTATTTACTGTTATTTCTGACTTTAAAAACATATCTACAGCTTTGTAAGTAGTAGGTAGTAAAAAATTAATCTGGGCAATAAAGGATTCTGTAAAAAGAAATTAACAAATATAGCAAATAAGCTGTTTTTACCTTGCTGTTCAAGTGCTTAGGTAAAAAAAAGACTGCAAGGGATAACACAAATTCTTGCAATTAATTGAATTGTCTGTAAGGGATATTTAGTCTTGCCTACTCTAGTGATTTGATAGTATGCAGTGTTCCTATAACAAAGCAGGAAACCTGAAGAGGTGTGTGAAGGTTCTTTATTTTTGTGAGTGATGTGAAGTGAGCTAAATATACTTCTATGCAATTCCTAGGTGATCCATGTTGGAACTGCAGTTTTCATTATAGTTAACTATGATTTGTACTGACACTAACATATTAGGCATCCAAGAAGTACAAGGAATCTGTAATTTAAATGGTCATAACAAGCATTCTGGTCTTTTCATAAACTAAAAAGAGTTGACACTAATGTCAGCTCTTGTGAGGCTGCAGGATGGCTTTTGGTATCAGAGTCTTTGATTCGGTAATTCTCATAAATGTTGCACTTCCTCTAGTAAAACTGGAAGAAGAGAGGGAGGTAAGCCTTCATTAAGTAATTAGTTTCACATTTCAAAGGTAAGAGACAAAACATCATCCTAGGGAAAAAGGGTATATCTTTAAATTGTCCATTATGTCATCTTTTCTGTATAGGGTCAGCTCTTACTTGTAATTTAAAAGCTTTACTCTTTAGGTATACGCTGTGTTACATATCCTGTGATATTTATAGTTGTATTATCATATTATTTTGATATTTCAGTAGTTTATATATATTCATACAAGTTATGAAAAAGTAATAGTTTGCCACTTCAATAGACAATTCTAATTTTCCAGAAAATTTGCTTGTTTTCTTTGGAGTTGCCAATTTTTCTGAAGATGTAAATTCCACAAAGGGAGTACTACTGTTAAGTTGATTTGTATTCCAGTAACCATTTCCTGGACAAGCTATCTGGAATAATATTCATTGAATTATTGAACTTATTGGCACAGCTCTAGCTTTAACTGTATTTCCAAACGTTCCATGATCTCACTGTTTATTCTCATGCATGTTAACATTTATAACTGTGTTCTGATGGTCTAACCCATTTATATTACATTCTGTACTGGATATTATGTGCGTGTGTTTTTAACACTCTAGTACTCAAAAAAGTGTTTTTGTTGTACCTAAGAAAACAAGGCTCTGGAATTTCCTGGCTTTTAAAGTCACATAATTAGTGGTAAATATAAATTGTCTCTGCATGTAAATTTTTTTGCATGTTACATATACTTTTTTCCTGCAGACATTGACGATGCTCAAATTCTACCACGTCCACCTCGAGTCAGACATTTTTCACAGAGTGAGGATGCTCCAAGTGAAGTTTTTGGTGCATTAAATGAGGAACAGCCACTGCCACGAAGCAGCAGCACCTCTGACATCCTGGAACCATTCGCAGTTGAACGAGCCAAAGGTGCAGTTCCTGTCATTGACAGTTCATCCCATCATGCTCCAAGCTTACAGAGTTCCACTGAAACCTCTTCAATGCATAGATCCACTGAAAGCCATGTCACTGATACAAATAGCAGAGAGTCCTCCTTGGAAGTTGGGGATAGTATTTATGACCATCTTTGTCATTTAATAGGGCCAGTAGAATTTGCAAACACAGCCTTTGAACAGAGCCAATATGTTGACCTTGAAGGTGAAGATGATCTCCTTTCCTCTCTGAGAGAATATCTTAAAGAAAAAGAAGAACTTTGCGGTAACTTTGAGATAGATAAATGTGAGGCTTCTGCTCACGAAGTTGATGCATCAGTAAATAGGAATGATAGATTACCACTGGATGGATTAGAAAATAGAGATCAGACTGGTCAATGCACGAATAGCATCACTGTTACAGAAAGAGCCGATAACACAGAGCTGCACCTAGAACAAAACCAAAGTGGCTTTATAAGTAATATTGCACCTACTCAAGTAGACTTCTTTACAAGAAATCAAGCGCTCAATAAAGCCAGACAGTTAAATACTGATAAACAGTTTGAAAGCATGTTTGATCATGGGTCAAGTAGTCCTAGCAGCAAAGAAAGGAAGAGATATTTGTACAGACAAGCTGCCACTGAAGCTGACGTAGATTTAGTTGTGGAAGCAGAGGTAGCTGAAAAGCATAGAAATATCCAGTTTAATGAAAATGTGACCAACTCGCGTATTGTCCATGCCAAGAAAATTCTTCCTAAAGCACAAGTTGACCCTCAAATGCCTCATGTCACAGGCACAAGCAAACTGGCACCAACTAAAAGGAGTATATCTGAAACTGTAACTCACAGGGCCAAAATCATGAAAATAACGACTAAAAAGAGAAATAGTGTTCATGTTACTTTTAGGCCATCTACAGAATCGGTTCAATTTTACAATCCTCTTGAGAGCAAAGAGGCTGCTTGGAAAGCAAGACTTCGTAAGCTCGGTGGCTTCAGTAGTAGCAGTAGTGGTAGCAGCAACAGCAGTAGCAGTGCAAGCACTAGCTCATCAACTGCCACAGAGCTGGTGAGACCTGGAATATATAGACCTCTAGATGCAATCAATGCTGCTTCAACTGGCGGCAAACAAATTAAGGAATCTACAGAAACTCAAGCAGCCATGTTGCAAAAAGAAGGTATTGCAGCTAGTCCGTTCCAAAATCGTAGTGCCTTTAGGGCACCAGGTCAGGAGTCAGCACAACAGCAGGGCTCCCTGGGTGGTGTTTATAAAACTGTTGTACATGCTCTTTCGAAGCCGAAGGCAAATGTTTCCCCACAGAGGCAGAACAGAATGCCAGCAGAGGCTCCACTGAGGGATCTGTACAGTCATGTAATGGGCTATTTTGGAAGGAAAGCTGCAGGTGAGCACTAACAGTGTGCAGAGCGCAAAAGGAGAAAGGCAGCAGCACCAGTTTGGCTTAATGCAACTGAAGCAAGCTCTGATAAGCAATCAAAAGGCTTTGGGATGATCACTGCTTTCCCTGTTTGGTTATGCATGCGCCTACAGCCAGCTGATTTTTCTACCAGCATAAGTTACATTTACATACTTTAAATTACTAATTTTCCTTTTCAAGATATTTAGTTGAACCTCTTTGCTGCTGAAGACCATCAAGTTAGGGAAGAGGAAGAGACAGTAAATGACCTAATAAAGGATTAAGTGTTGAGACTTTTGAATTTTCATTTACCATGCAGAGCCTTAAAATTCAGCCTACTGAATGATTGGCATATTTGGTCAGAATGTGCTATTCCACTGAGTGTAGTTTGTTTGTTGGAAGGACCTGGCTCTTGACCAGCTAGGTTGAACTAATTGTATTCCCGGTTCATTTAGTGTGTTTTCTTCTTCCTCATCATCCTCTTCCTCCTCCAAAACAAAAAAAAAAGCCTCTTAAATTTACATTTGGAGGTCAGTTTAGGTATTTTTTTTAAAAACAGTCTGAAACAGCAATCTGCTGTTACTATAATAATTTCATTGCAACAATTCTCTGAGTCTAATCATAAGGTTTTGAGTCTTTTTCAAAACATGCTTAGTCCTTCCTATATTCATTCATCAAAATGGCTGCAGTTACATCTTGGCAACATCTTTCATTGCTTTCTTTTTTCTTGGAATCATCTTGAATGTTCATGAAGGTCTCATGATAGTTTTTCTCCTGCTAACTATGAGACTTCTGTGGACTGATCAAAAAAGAAGGCTATCACTCTAATATCCATTGTCTTAGTTCACATAACCTTAAATGAACAATAAATTAACTTTCAGCAGTAATGCAGGTTTTCTTTTTTTTCCCATTGTTATTCTGGCATGCTTAACAGAGGATTCTGCAATGCATCCTGCATCGAGATGTTAATGCCACCTGAGGGCAGTCTCTGTAAGCGTAGCACCCGAAAGCATCACTGTCACGGGTCTCACAAAAACGATTTGCTGCTCTGCAGAATCTAGACTTCTGAAAAAGAGATACCTAGGAAGCACCAATTTTAGAAGTACCTGTTATTTGAAATCTGTAACATTTCACAGAGCTTCACTGTTAGAATAAACTACACTGTGGTCTCACGAGAGATGACATTGAGGGAAAAATCCTTACAAAGAGAACATGAACTTGAGTAACCTGAAGACTCTAAAGGTGAATATCATGAAGTCAGGTGTAACAGCCACAGTTAAATAATGAACGGTGTAGTTATATCAAAAATATAACACTGGTAGATGAGTGAACTTAATCAATTGTTTATAACCATTGATCATCCAGAGTTAGAATTTCAGTCCATGTACTAGCATGTAATTTTATTACGTAACATTTTCTTTGCACTATTTATACTAACTGAATACAGTGCCACATTGCCATTTGTCATTAGTATATATTACAACATTGTTTACTTTTCCCACTACATTGCTTTTCATGAGGAATGCAATGAAGAAGGAGCCTGTACGAATCATACGTTTTTTAGGATTTGTTACTTACTTGTGATATGGAGGAAGAACATATGCTTTATCCTTAAAGCAAGCATTAACAACTTTGAGTAGTGCTTACCTATAAGCTTCCTGCTCTTAAAGGTGGAACTGGAAATCAACTAACCCCTGCTTAGTGGGAAGAAGAAGCCATACTAATTCTGGAAGTAGAATCTGCTTTAAAAGAGGGACATTCTTAAAATGCATGTTTGGCAATTTTGATTTCTTTATTTCTGTTAATTAGCAGGGGTTTTTTTCATTTGTTTCATTTTCTTCTGAAAATGTCTTGATGCATTATTTACTATAAATGGTTATTCATTTGCTTTTAGCCAATAGAGAGGACACGAGTCCAAAGCTGCATCCTATTGATAGTGATATTGGCAATAGCAATACAAATGTTCCTGACCTCATGGATGAATTTATAGCTGAGAGGCTCCGCAGTGGTAGTGCACTGGTAAGCCTTTAAAATTGCTATATTTCCATATTTAAGTCTTCATATATGTATGAACTTGTAAATGATATTATCAATCAGTTCACTAAAATGTATTTCCCTGGCTTTTAAGAATCAGAATTGAGAATATCGATTTGACATAGATTCATGCCATTGACATAGATTCATGCCATTTTATACTATACATTCATGACTATGAAATCTTTATTGTGGAAACAGTGCAGAAGTTGCTGTCAGATCAATAGTCTCATCAAATTAAGCAGCCTTAAGTGCACCTGTAAATATCTCTTGTACCTGGACACTTTCAGAATAACAGTTTACATGTAGATTTGCAGTCCTCAGAGTGGTATGTAGTTAAGTATGATGCAGTAGTACAGTACTGTTCTCTACAGGTATAGTCAACATAACAGACAACAAAACTACTCCAATATATATTTTTCCTTTTTTTAAAATTTCATTTCCAAGTGTTGAATAATTTCCTGTAAGCAGTGTTCTGATTGAATCAACTTTTCATATGCTTTCTTCCTGCACTTTTCCAGAAGTGTCATGTTATTTGGAATGGCATTCATAATGAGAAATTTTAATCAATTTTAAGTTGATAATTTCTGATTACTGTTGAATGTTTACAGAACAAGACAATTGATTTGAAGAGATGAGTACATATTAACTAGCAATGAAAGGGAAAATGCAAAAAAAAAGTTGCAAACGAAGAACAGAATGGGTAACAATTTAAATATAGTGTTTCAAAATTGTTCAGCTATTTTTTCTGCTTAGAAGTTTTTGAGGTCATTTCAAGACATGCCCCTGTAAGACATGCTTGTATAGAAAGTTGTCAATAAGTAGTTGTTGCTAATAAGGGGCAGAAAACGTGTCTTTGAAGTGATTTTAAAAAACCTCGTTATTTATCATCATCTTTTATAAATGGCAAGACAGGATCTATAGAGTTTGTACATATGCATGCTTTTTTTCTCTTTTGTATTGCACTCATGTTTATGGAACTTGATTGTTGATGCAAAGTATTCTTGTTGGTAAGTCTTGAGTTACAAGACAAAAATGCTAACTTAAAGTCTATGAAAAATGTTAACTTAGTCTGCAAATTATTAAAACAGAAATCACCACAGCTGGCCCCAAAAGAAGAGAGAAAGGGAGGGAATGCTATTTGTTTTGAGAATTGATACTTCCTTTAGGTAGCAGGAAAGGGATGAGATAAATATGAATAAATACTTGAAAACTGCCACTCATTTTTTTTATTAGCACACAACAATAGATATTCCTCCTTAAAACAGTACCAACTTATTAAGATTAGTTTTAAGTTGCTCTGTCTTTTGAATGCTAAAACCTTATCACGAGAAGCTTGTCAGTCTGAATTAATCTCTAATCAGTAGTAGGGTAGTAAAAGAATGCAGAAATTACTGGGCCTAGTGTAAAAACAAGGCATATTTAGGCTCATAATGCATAAAGATTTCAAGCCATTTCATAAAATGTTTTTTCTGCTTTTATCTTCCTTCACTCTGAACCAAACAGCCCTATCTGTGGAGAAGTATGCCTTAAAGAAAGACTTCAAATAGATCACCACCTTACTTGTACAGGAGCAAATCTGCATGTCTTATTTCTGCTCCATGCTGTCTGGGGGTTTGGAAAGTCTTGGCCATATATTTAGTAGGATGATGATTTCTTGAACTGTTCTGAACTATAACGATGACAATTCTGAACTATTTGATACATTCTGACATTGGCAAATGTGGGATTGCTTATTACATTTTAGGTAAATGAGCCATCCAAGATTGTAAAATAATTCATGTCTCTTCAATGTTTAGAATGTGACAAGAAGAGGAAGCAGTCCTGGAAGCCTGGAAGTTCCCAAAGACCTTCCTGATATATTGAACAAGCAGAACCAAATGCGTCCTGTAGATGACCCAGGTGTGCCCTCTGAGTGGACATCCCCTGCCAGCGCAGGCAGCAGTGACCTCATCAGTTCCGACAGCCACTCTGACTCCTTCAGCGCCTTCCAGTACGATGGCCGCAAATTTGAAAGCAAGTATATTTTTACCAAAGTAATAGTGTTTTGATTAACTGATTGCAAATTCCCCTTCTTTTTTAATTTCCCTCCCCTGGTAAAGTTGTCTGTAGAGGGAGATTATTTTGACTTCCCATTGAAATCATTAGCACATTAATGGAGCAAGAAGGGTTCTTGTGAGAGGCTGTTGTGTTTTTAGTATATTAAACAAAAGAGCACTGGAATACTACTGTACAAAAAGCAGAACAACATTGAACAGAAGTTAGAAAGCAATATTGCCTTCTCCCGGGAGCATATCCATCTGCTTTGCACGAAATATAAAAAAGAAGGGTTACTGATTTTGGAAGTTATTCTAATTCTTTTGAAAACATTTAGGTAAAACTTAAGGACTTGTAATATTTTTACAGCAGCTTTTGCACAGTTATAGATTAATCAAGATATTAAGTGTAATATCATAATAAAGTCAGTATGCTTTGTTAAAATTACTGTGCTTTGTATAATATCATAATGCTGCTCATTCATTTTATTTATCCGTTCTCACACTTGTTCAATAGAAGAGGTCATTATTGTTGCTAGGAATTATAACTTCATGTACTATGTAAGGTAAACATAGTGTTTATATGGTAGAATTTATTGATGAAATGACAATTTTTATATATATTACTATTATGAAACTAAGCAATGGTAATTAAGCCTTCATTTCACCATGACATTTTTTCTTAAGTGTTGAAAATAACATTTGTTAGCATATCATTTGCCATAATATTTTTATTTTGAAGCTTGTGCTTTCACAATGAACTTGAAGATTTCTTCCAGCTTGTAAATTTTGCAAATAAATTCCTTAATGGATATTTCCATTTTTCTTTAGCTTTATTAATATGTAGGTGCACTTAGAGCAACTAAGCAGAATACAGGACATACAATAGGAATCTCTTCTGCAGAAGTGCAGTGATTGGTTTATGACAGGAAAGAGAATATTCATAATAGTCAATTACTTTCTGTTTGCAACAGTGTGTTAGTAACATAGGAGATGCACTTAAAAGGTGAACATGGAGAATTTTGGAGGTCCTGGACCTTTGGGTTTTATTTGTATTAGTGGTATTTTTAGGTTGTAAGTTAATACAGTGCTTTCCTCATACAGATTTCAACTTTGGCACTGAGGCAGGGACACCAGCTTCTACTGACGTTGATGCAATTTCAGGACAGCAACAGAGTGCTGAGGAGCAAGAAGTGGCCAGTCTAACTACACTCCACATAGATTCAGAAACAAGTAGTCTCAATCAGCAACCATTGTCTGCTGAAGCTGCAACTATTACGGGTAAAGTAGTTTTTTAAAAAAAGACTTAAAAAAAAGCAAGCATTTATTTCAGAATTTTTTCACCCATCCTGAAGAATGCAAGTTCTAGCTTCTGCCATGAATTTATATTCTATTTAAGATGATTCTTTTATTTCACTTATTTTTGATTGCTATTGAAAAGTAATGTGTGAAATAACGTAAGTGGAAAACCTTTGTCTGACATAGTAACCCATAAGGTCTTTGGCTTGGTCCTAAATGTATTTTAAACCCTTCATGAGAAAATCTATACAATTACCAGGAAGAAACTCTTACCATGTAATGTACAGTAGATCTCTTATAAGTGTCCTTTTATTACTGGGAGTTAAATAACTACTTTTCAGGAAAAGGTTTTTCTTTGAAAGCCTTTGACAGTGCACTTTCAAACCAGTGTATCACGCTGAAGTATTACGGGATTCTTTTATATACATCCGTCTTAACATCTCTTTATATTGTCTGTTGTGTAGCTGAGACCTTTTACTATGCAAAAAGTTATTGTGCTGTGTAACATCACTTTCCATTTGCATGATTTAAAAATTGTTTTTCTTTTAATGCTTTACTTGTTTTCATGAAAAAATCAGCCTGTAAGGAAGGAGTGTTTAACAGCCTCAGTTGATGAGGTTGATGTTCCACCACTTTATTTTGCCACTGTTACCTTGGGAAAGAGAGGAACTGTTGGGGTAGCAACCACCAAGTGATGCAGTTAAGCCAAACTGAATGGGCTCCTTTCTGAAAGAGTGAATCCTTCTCTGTGAGGAGGATTTGGAAGAACGGCCTCTTGCCAGGTTTTGTAAAGGGAAGTAAAGATGTCCATAGTAATTTTCATACTCCTTGTTCCCTAAATGTTACACACGATCA